AGCACAAAGGGAACGGGTTGCAAGAGAAACACTTACTCTGGTTTCTCAGTCTGTTTCCTAGTGCCGGATATAAGTTCCTGCTGTTTTCTCTGTAAAACTGATTTGGTGCTAGAACTTCCCTATATATATGTATGTAGTGTAGTTTCCAACTGAAAAGGAACTTTGGATTTCCAAGAAGCTAGGTAAAGGGCAGCTTTCACACACACTTATCTCTCAGAACTGAACATGTGGAGAGACGTTCGTTCATCTAGCACAAAGGGAGCCGTTTGCAGGAGACACACTTACTCCGGATTGTCAGTCTGTTTCCTAGTGCCGGTTTGAAGTTCCTGCTGTTTTCACTGTAAAACCGAGTTTGAGCTATTACCTACACATATTTATGTATGTAGTGTAGGTTCCAATTAAAAAGAAACTTTGTGTACCCAACAAGCTAGGTGAAGGACGGCTTTCACACACAGTTATCTCTCAGAGCTGAGCATGTGGAGAGTCATTCATTCATCTACCACAAAGGGAACAGGTTACAGGAGAAATACTTATTGTGGCTTCTCAGTGTGATTCCTTGTCCCAGTTTGAAGTTCCTGCAGTGTTCACTCTAAAACCGAGTGGAGCTAGGACCTCCCCATATATATGTATGTAGTGAAGATTCCAACTCAAAGGAGACTTTGTGTTTCCAACAAGCTATGTGGAGGACGGCTTTCACACACAGTTATCTCTCAGAACTGAGCTTGTGACGAGACATTCGTTCATGTAGCACAAAGGGAACGTGTTGCAGGAGAAACCCTTACTCTGGTTTCTCAGTCTGTTTCCTTGTGACTGTTTCATGTTCATACAATTTTCACTGAAAAATCGAGTTGGAGCATGTTCCTCCCCATCTCTATGTATGTAGTGTAGTTTCCCACTGAAAAGATCTGTGTGTTCCCAACAAACTTGGTGATTGACAGCTTTTAAAAACATATAACCCTCCGAATTGATGATCTGTTGATACATTCGCTCATTTAGCTTAAAGTGAATAGTATGCCGTAGAAACACTTACTCTGGTTTCTCAGTATGATTTCTAGTGCTGGTTTGAATTTCATGCATTTTTCACTGTAAACCCGATTTGGAGCTAAGTATATTTATGTATGTATTGTAATTTCCGACTGAAAATTATCTGTGAGTTCCCAACAGGTTTGTTGACTGACGGCATTCACACTCACTTAACTCTCAGGATTGAGTATGTAGAGAGAAGTTCGTTCATCTAGCAAAAAGGATTTGGTTTGCAGTAGAAACACTTACTGTGGTTTCTGACAGTGTTTCCAAGTGCCCGTTTGAATTTCTTGTTGTTTTACCTGTAAAACCGGGTTGTGACTAGTACCACCCCATATATTTGTACGTAGTGTAGTTTCCCACTGAAAACAAACTGTGTGTTCCCAGCAAGTTTGATGATCGATGGCTTTCAAACACATTTACCTCTCAGTTTGCGCATGTGGAGAGACGTTCGTTCATCAAACATAAAAGGAGTTGGTTTCAGTAGGAACACTTACTCTGGTTTCTCAGGATGTTTCCAATTGCCTGTTTGAAGTTTCTGAAGTTTTCACTGTAAAACAGAGTTGGAGCTAGTACCTCCCCATATATTTGTATGTAGTGTATTTACCCAGTCAAAAGAATCTGTGTTTTCCCTACATGCTAACTGATAGATGGCTTTTGCACACATTCAACATTCAAAACATACCATGTTTAGAGGAGTTCGTTCATCTAACTTAAAGGGAATGTGAAAGCGGTGATCATGGCCTATGCTGGTAGGAAAACAGTAAAGGGAGCATTAATTTCGAGACTTTATATTTATGGTCAGCAGATATGACAGAATTTCATTTTCAGCGGTAGATTTCTTTTTTTTTAAATTCAGAAATATTAATTGTTTCCTGTAACTGGATATATAAAATGAATCTCTTTAAGTCTTTGAGCAACTGCTTTAAAGTAGAATAATTACTTTGCTTTTGGTCTTTAACCGAAGGGAATATCCAGAATTCCAGAGGCAGTACAAAAGCAAAGCCCTGAAACTTGCCTATTGCATTTATTTTGTTTAATAGGAATAACTGTATACTAGGGTACTGTGGTTAACTAAAGAGCTTGCTTGGATATGTATATGTAAGTTATATTTTCAAAAATTATAAATATCATGAAAATGAATTAACCTTGGACATACATTTGGTATGTTTTACTCTTTAATAATGTAGATTTAGATAGCCCTTTTTTATGTAACACTTATGAAAATAAATTGGCTTTATATAACTCCTTTTTTAATAAATCATTTAAAAATTGGGTTTTTTAAATCATTTGCTTCTTACAAATAGGATATTAGTTGCACAATATGTATTTTCCTTGAAGTTCATATATTTTTCCCTATACTATCTAGACTTGTTTAGATAAGTTTTCCCATAGTCTGATTTATTTTAAACACGCAGTATGTGCTTCTGTCTGTTGCTTTATTAGAGAGCAAGAATTCTTTATTATATTTAATAAAATATGCTTGCAGGAAACTATACTGGGATTCTTTCATTCACAGAGTCAAGAAATAATACCTGTTTTGTTAGATCAAACATCTAAGCCTCTCAACTTCCAAAAGATTACATGGACAAAGTTAAATGCCATAAATGATAAACTAAAAAAGTTTATTTTGTTCCTTGATTAAAAGTATAAATATGGGTCAGTCTTAAATTTGAATGTAAAGCTCTTATGAATTACATGAGTCTTCTCCAAAATTCTTTAATTTGGGCTTTAAACCCTCCAGTAAATAACTGGTTTGAAGGAAGAAGGTAGTTGAGAATAGATTCAATCCAAATTCTATCGGAATAAACAAAGCTAAATTTTCAGTCATTTTTTGAAGCAGAACAGATACATTTTCTGCACCATATGATTTTAATAGTATTCATCTGAACTTACGGTTTTGACACCATGAGACCACAAGTCAACAAACAAGATCTCAGGCAAAGCAAGAAAAACAACTGAGGGGATTTTCTACTGCAAAATTTCCCCTAACTTGAACTGTAATAGAGAACAAATCTGACGCCACATTGGATCTGTTCCTTTAGTTTGAAGCACTGTGCCCTGTTTTCCAGCATTAATCTTGCTGGCTCTGCACCTTTTGTAAAACAACTTTGCCTTTAGCATAAAACCTACTGGAAAGCCTATTCTTGGGGCTCTGACCTTTAAGGATGTTAGCACTTCTGCACTTACGCAGAGATGGCAAGTTGCAAAATAGAGAATAACCTTTGTTTTGTTGGAGGTTTACAGGGACACCATAGCCTGACCCACATGGAAGGCTGCAAGAACAAAGAATGCCTGCAGCAAGAAATTTGCACAGCCAAACACACCCCCTCCCCTTTTTAGCTTAAAAGGAGCCTGAATTCTGACTTGGGCAAGATGAATCTCCAGGACATAAGTCCCCCATCTCCTTGGTCTGCTAGCTTTCCGAATAAAGTTACTATTCCTTGCCCCAAAATGTTGCCTACTGATTTATTTGTTTATCACTGTTGTGCAGCGAGCAGAACAAGTTTGGCCTTGGTAACAGAACCAGCTTTGTCATTCCGTCTGCTGTGAAATCTCTCTGGGTGTACACGTGCTTGCCTGCTGGTGGTGGTGGTGGTGGTAGGCAAAAATATTTCACTTCTCCTGATTTCAATAGGCAAAAATTTCCTGCTATTTAAGTCAACCCTAGACTTTTACAGAATCACCTGCAGTTGTGCTTCTGGAAACTACAAAAATTCCAAAAATGAAAATAATTCAACTGTCTCCAGACAAGATCCTTTTCCTCAAAACTGAGCAGCTCTGAGACACACTTCAGGAGTACAGATAGATCCAGCATGCTTCATTTCCCATGCTGTTCTGACACAATTTTCCACTTATATCAATGTAAATTAAAGTCGGTCTTCAATAGCAGAAGATCTGGCATGATACAATAATGTCAATTCCACTTATTTATTGAGCCAGAGCAGCTTTAGAATAAATGATTTACACCGAACTCCTGCTTGTTGTCCTGTCTTCTCCCTGGTGGCTAATTCCTTCTTCTTTCTTCCTAAAAGTTCTCCTGTTATGGGAAGTTAGCCTTTACAGTTCACGTTCAATTGGGAAGGCACAAATTAAATATGTGGGTGGATGACATGCATATTTAATTCTTACTTATACATATATACAAGCACACATGACCTGTGTCTTGGAAGATGTCACTTCCTAATATGGGAAAGAGGATGGTCTATAGTTCAATCAATGATCTAAAAGCAGTTTTCTAGGATACAATAAAGCAATGCCTGAGTTATAAGACAGAACAACCCCTGGATATGAATCACTGGCACCAATCAGTGGACTCACTGTGCGCACACATGCCCATGCACATGGAGCAGCCTTGGAAACACTCCATCTGTGCTGATGGAGCAAAGTCATGCTGGGGACATGAGGGAAAAATGCCTAATACAATCAAACCAGGACACCTGAGAAATGGGAAATAGGTGTCAAATGAATTTCCTGGTTACCTGAAGGTAAAAAAAAACACTTTTAATTTCAAACGTCATTGCTAAAAATTTCCTTAAAACACAGGAGCCTGTTTTCCTGCCTTCCTTACTGTCATATGCCATATTAAACATGACACATTCATACTTCTCTGACTGTGGAACTGGAAAGGCCTTGCTGTCATATTCTGAAAATTAGTCTATGTTTTGCCTCACAGTGGATACTGAAAATGGGGCAACTTGAGTGAATGTGAATGGACATAACTTAGCAGTCATTGACTGTGTGTGATTTGCCAACTTTCTCCAAAACATAGGGTTATCAAGCAAATCAGATTAATTGAGTGTTCTTGGGGTGGGAGTCATGCGGGCTGACAGCTGGGTGGTCCCAGGTAGCTTGTTTTACTATGTAAAATTGTGACTATGATCCAGACAGTGACACATTGTCAAATTCTTGTGCCTGTAGCTTTGATACCTGCCCACGTCTGTGCAGCCAATTTTAACGATGGTGCATAATGGAGATAACTAACATTCCCTGAGGACCAGGTTGTGTGACTTCCATGCATTGACTCACTGAATTCCCTAAGCACCCTTTGTGGTACATAGCAGTCTTAAAATAAGCAGCAGGGAATTATTCTGTTTGCAGATGATAAAGTGTAGCTCTGAACTGTTGAAGTCTTGCCCGAAATCATGCAGATGTGAATACGCCGTGCTGGGAGCTAAGCTCGGGCCAGGCTACAGAACCTGAAGTGCCCAGCAAGTCCCCTCACAGACTAACCTGGCCCAC